CCCCCCTGACGTCAACTGCGTTTTTTGTCAAATTTTGAGCCACCTGGCATTATATTTGAAAAATAATGACGTTGCATACGTAGCTTAGTTCATGGGGCTTACTTTGAAACCGGTTTTGTTACTCTAACCCACTCCTAGTTGGCTCTACAAGGCCAAAAGTGTCTAACTGGGCCCGGTCTCCCCTACATTAACATCATTTTCTGTTTTCATTAATAGTTTCAGTAAACAACTTTGTAATGATAACAATCGGGCGTAAAAAAAAACTGAAAAGATTTTTAAATCTTTGTATGCATGCATTATCCAATATGATTCTATATAGGCTTATACATTGCGGGAACCCTGTAGCAAGTAATACTGTCACATTAGATACTGTTTTCCTAAAGAGTTTCAGGAAACAACTTGGTAGAGATAGCAGTCCGGCGGGGAAAATAACGAAAAGAATTTCTTATCTTAGCATATATGTATTACCCAACATGATTTTGCCTCACAGTATTGCATCTGGCACAAACGTATACATGAACTGGTACATGTACAAATGTATATACGATAGACGTAAAATACCCGTATCAGCAAAAAATAAATGAGAAACTTTGCGCTGAAGTAAAACAATTTCACAAACGATGACGATATAATTGAGTTTATTTCATTGAGAATGCCCTTAAAACAACGGGTACCGGTATTCAAAACAATTTGCCCTGTTTGAGAACACTATATGTGTTTACAAATACTGTATAAATATATAACTAATGTCTAGATACAAAATATTCAACAAAAATGATAAAATATTGGCTGTAATATAAATGGTCTACAACATCAAGATATAATAGTTCAAATCTCATTTTCTTTGTCTAAAGCAACTGGATATTTTCTATATTATGCTTATATCCAGTAAACCGTTTTACAAATGATTCAACGGTTGGGACATCAGTTTTCTAAATGCCCTGTAATAATTTATACATTTATACATTCAGTTATGATATAAAATTTACTCGAGCAAAAAGTGCACCCCATTTGCGACATGCGCATAACATCGTTTCTCTAATCTGACACTAAAAAGGGTTTTTTTTCGCCGTAAGTATTTGACTGGATCATAGAAAAACGAACCAGCACTGATCTACATGTAAATATACCCTAATCATATTAAATTTCATAGGACTCGAGCAGTATATTTAGTTTATGCAACTTGTATACATTATTACATTTGGACACATCAAGCAGGAGTGAAAAAAGCTACGACATAGAGAATCCAAATCACTGAATGTTTTTGATAGATCCAGATTGAATTACACGAAGCAGTTGATATGGACTTTTGCATGTTAAAGCGACGGTAACGAGAAAAATAATCCTTCAAAGGGATACATGGAATATGCAAATTGTCCCTTTTGTGGATGCACTGAACAACATTCTGTGAAAATGTTACTGTATTTTTATACCCTTATGCTCAAAAAGAGTAAAAAAATAATAACCCATATGTTACACGAAGCTATGGACAACTTTTGCTTGGGATCACAGTTCTCATTTGTTTCCGTCGGATGATGACGTGAATCCTGGATGAAGCAATGCAGCGACATTTTTTTTATAATAAACTGCGTATTTTTTTTCTTTTTTTTTCTAATAATTTATTTATTATAATTTTTTGGGGGAGGAGGGGGTCAGTCTAACAGTTATTAGTTGAATTGCACGCAAAGTAAGATATAAGACACAACCACATTCATTTTAATTATCGTAATCAGAATGATAAGTCACATGGGCTGTTTGTGTTTTATATATCAAGGCATTACGCACTATAATAAAGCACATTAATTTAATGTAAATAAAAAGGTGATATCTGAAAATAACAACACGTTGAATGACCTGAGATCACTTTGCATAAGCAACAAGCTATCACTTCTTGCGAGAAAGATTTGACCCACTGGTTCCAACATCTTCATAGGTCCCATAGTTCGTTAAAGGCACATCTTTACCCTTCTTAATAGAAAAAGTAGGCCAGGCATACGTATAATCTGCACTCTCGCTTGAACCACGCGTCTCACTGTTTGTGCCTTCCCCCTTCTGTTTTGTGTTCACATAACTGTGGCATGATGACGTCATGAATTGAGAATAATTGGAATCGTGTGGCGTCAATGCAGGTCCCACCTGATATGTGTCTATGACGCCCGATGAGGACCGTAAGGAGTTGTCCATTGTCACACTGACATTGCCATACATGTGCTGCTTCAGGGATGAACCGCTGTCAGCGAAGTGGAGGTACTCACCGGTAGATGGAGTATGGTTTTGCGAAGCCTTGCCTTTAAGAATTTCATTCTTCCTTCCGTCATTTCTCTCGCTCGCCGTTAATTGAGCTGTTGAATCGTAATCCATTGCCACGTTTTCGATGCCCGTTTTCTGAAGTCAGAGAGTTTTCATATAAACGTCTTGATAATGTATGCATTAATTAGTAAACATATTTATGAGTGCATTCCTTGAAAAAAATTTCATTTGTTAAGCAGGCAAACATATCAAGCCAAAGTTCAAGTGAGATGGTTTCAACGGGTTTCATCCTACTAGTATACGTGTGTATGTGGCAAATGTAGAAGATAAAGTAACTGATAACAATTAAATAATAATTTATCAAGCTACGTTCTTACATGTAACAACGGAAAGAATTTTACCTTCTCATATCTCACACCACCTGTGATTTCGTTGCCTTGTTTTTTCACACTGAAACAAACAGCATCAATACCTTAAAACTGACGTGTGCTAGGAATATTTTAGTAACGTTTCTAATTGCCACATTTGTTATTTATAACATGGCAAAAATTGATCAGTCACAAACAGGCTTTCTTTTTATGGTTATGCACTTTCTGTGTTATTCACTTTTTAATTTACCCAAATCTCTTCCAAATTGTTCAAACATATAGACCAAGAGACACGAACATAAGGCAAAAATCGTTTTTTATTGTTGCAGATGCTTTCAAGTGTAAGTAGATCAACGTTTAATTGCCTTACACACAAAAATAAAGGAGACTAAACAAATTTATCAGTGAGAAAAAAGTTAATGTTTGTTTCATATGAAGCATTGTATATTATTGTCTACTATATTAAGGAAATAATAGTAACACCACTTTATTTCAAGATTAATTTTACCATTTTGACACATATTATAAATTTTCTATTGCGTCACGCGATAGACCTCTGACCCTGATAACCCCTTTTCTTTGTTTTGGCTAAATTAAATGCATAAATGGATTAATCATTAGCGTAATACCTTCTCTTATTAAAGATTTTGATTGTTTTTGCTCGACCTTAGTGCACGATGCAAATTCCTCAAATTTTACTCATTCAAGTATGTCACTATAAACGCGCGTTTCTGTTCAACGTTTGACTTTCGTTTATCATGGACAAAAATACAATACCAATTATCTCGTGACAACGTGGGTAGCCATGCGTAATTAATATATCAATGTACTTAAAGGTTTTAAACTGGTTTTTAAGGGCACATGGTTCGGATCGAACTTCATAAATATACCAGTACACACACAAAGCTGCTCTGTGCGACACCAGCCTTGTCTCGCTTGTTTTACCGTTTACAGAATTTGGTAGGAGGTAGAAGGAAGATAACAGCTACAGAAGCTAGGGATCGGGTAGTCCATTGTGCACCCCCCTCCCCCCCATCCGCCTTTCCTATACTACATAACTCTGATATGTAAAGAATGTATATGATTCACGAAATATATATAGAAGTGCAATACCCCTACATCCGCTTTTGATATACATGTTCTACATAACTCTGTATATGATTCATGAAATAAGGAAGTAGCCCAAATAAACCCCCAATCTTACCTCCTGTCTATATCCTGCTTTCTACACCGCCGCCTGCAAAAAACAATAACGACAACCACGACAGCCAGTACGACCCCTCCCGCCACTGGAGGGGCAATTATCAGCGACAGATGTTCTGGACTTGTTTCCATATCTCTCTCTCTCTCTCTTTAATTTGCCAGATCTACTTTACTGTGTCAAAGGTATGCGTCTATGTTACTGAGCGTCTCCTCGGCGTGACCTAGAAATGACAATAAAAAAGAATAACAAATATGGCACAGCAAACACACCCAGTAGTACTTATAGTCACATGAATACCGGTATGTACTGTAGTATTGACCTGGTTTATCGCGGTGATGCTGAAGTTATTTACCAAAAAAAAACAGTCAATTATTAATCATTTTATCCTACAGCCGCCAAGTCTTTGTAAGGAATTCGATGTAAAAAAAAGGAGCACATCAGTCTCTTAGCGCGCCTTTTCATACTTGGGACGTTTCTTGATATGTGCTGTTCGTTAGTGTATGGCAAATATCAGAGATTGGTAACAGGAGGGCTAATGCAAGAAATTTCGTGCTAATTGGTCATTAGGCTGACAAAATGTTTATTTTATCACCGCTGTTCACCATTTCTTTCTATAAAAGTACTTCCGCTTAAAGAGAAAACAGCTGACATTCATATTTCACAATAAATACATTGTAAACAACCCAAGAAATATAATGAATTCCATTTTACCACCTAAACAACGATTAACGTGATTCTTCTGGAATCTGTGCTTGCCATCAGACCACAAATGCCTTCACAGATGGCTGTACCTACGTAATAATCTCTTAGGAAATTTTACATGTTAAAAAAACCCAAACTTATAGGAAGAACACGTACTAACTTTGAATACTGGAATGCATTCATTAACCTTTGGTAAGTATGAGAAAATCGTCGTTTACCCAAGGAAAATAGTTTTTTTTACCAAAGTTGTTATCTCTTTAAGTCTTTTTTTTAAGTCATCATTTAAAAAGAGCACAACAATTGCAATCTGAATGTGCAAGGTAGTGCGCAACTACAGCAATTCTGTCTGGGAGTTAAAACGTACGTGGTCTTTTGAGTATGACTTAAATTAACAATTTAATTAAATATGCCTACCTTAACTGAATGTTTCAGTTCGGAGTGGGGTCATGTCATTTTGGCATGACAGCAATGGTGCCTTGTGTGACATTGTCCGTCTGCTTAGAGAAAGGAGTCGCATTTCACCGAAAAACCCATTAAACTGACTCAGCTTTAACGTTTCTGGATATATATTTATATATGAGATGCTTTAATCCGCTGGAAGGGCTGTGATGAAGAATAATCATATAGTGTTATTTTGTCTTGTCTTACACGGCAAACATTTTCAGCCATTGTACCCCTCAAAATAAATCAGTCTAGTAGGCACTGGTAGGTTCATGGCTTACCTTTTCAGGTAAACGAGAAATGCACGTACTTCTACTAGATACACAGCTTCGAGAAAGGGTGTCAAAGGGCACGCCGTTTTTTGTTGAGGTGTGTGCTTGCAGCGACTGTAAAAAAGCTCGCCTTTTAAAGGGAAGTTATTCATCAAATATTGGGGTTACTACGTCGCAGTAATGTAAACAAAACAAAAAAAAAAAAAAACTTTTTGTTATAATGCGTTTAGACTTCCCCTGCGATTTTCTATGAACAGTGCTTTACGGATTAAAATAAGTTGTAATTTAGCAGTGCAGCATGGTTTAATAAATGTCTTTTACTCAATACTGTAATATATGGGCCAGTGCCTCAGTGACCCGTGGGGGTCAGATTTTTGACCAGTGGTATTAGACAGTGGTGGGGAAATAAGGTGAAGGGCCAGTGGAGGGTTTTTGCGAGGGGGGCCACGGCGGGTCGACTTCTGAAAAAAAAATCACACCAATGATCCCCTCTTAAAATTAGAATTTTGACTAGCTGAATCATAGTCCTAAACCGTTCTCACTCTAAAATATCAACAATTTTGCGGAGCCCTTCTGTAGGCCCCGAACCCCACGACAGGGGTCTGGGAGGTGAGAGTAGGCTTCACATCCGCGGACCCCCCTTCAAATAATCCTGGATCCGCCCCCATGTAGTCCGAGATCCTATATAACTAATACAAGAGAATGTCAGCGGGATCAGAATATGCGCCTGTGAAGAGTAGGCCTAATAAGACTATGATCCCTGTTACACGCCTCTTTGATACACTTTTTAGCTTTGTGTAAATGTCTATGTTGAATTAATAGTACCACTATATCAATTTGGGTTAGGAGACCGATAATTCAGTGTACATATTGATGTAATACTCCCTCTTACCTGTAAGGGATTGCGTGAGTCTAATAAGACTTTCAAAGGTAGGTAACCACGTACATGTTCAGCTTTAGAACTAATGAAGATTGAGCAAATTCAGTTGCATATTTCGAGGTACCGGTATGATAAATTAAGATTTGTCTGGATCAAGTGCTATGTTGTGTAGATTCTTACGTGTTGAGACAACGCTGGTAGGTAAGATGCACAGTGTATACTAGTACATTATCTAACGTCTTCAATGGCCAAGGGGAGAGATTCGTTTGATACAAAATCAAATGCAGGGGCGGATCCAGGATTATTTCAAGGGGTGGTCTGCAGATGCGAAGCCGACCCTCCCTCCACCCTTGGCGTGGGGTTCGGAGCCCAGTAAAGGGTCCAAATTTTTTTGGTATTTTAGAGGGCGAACGGTGCCATTTGGTTTTGAACTATCTTTCAGCTTGTCAAAATTTTAATTTCAAGAGTGGACCATTGGTGTGATTTTTGTCTGAAATCGAAAGGGGGGTCAGGATCCCCCTGACACCCTGACATGAATGAGTAAGAGTTTGAATTTTCAAGAAATTGTTTTTTTTTTCTAAAAAATATTTCTTGAGAGAAGCTGCCATATACACTCAAATATCATCGAAGGCTAGATTAGATCAATGCACTACAGTACAGTATATGCACATACGCGGTCAGACGCATTTCATGCATGGACGTCATTCAGCGTGAAGGGTACAGTAATTATTCATTTTTAGTCCATTACTTATGGTAAATATATATAATCTCGCGAGGTGGCTCTCCATTTAATAGGCGTTCAACACACTGTAGCAAATGTAGCAAAAACTAAATTCCCCCAAAATGTGACGACAATTCTCTTAAGCAGCATGTTAACTAAATTATTATTCATAAACCCTTTTTACAGTTGTAAGTTGTAAGTCTTACAAGCATTTAACAGTGACTATCTATAGAGCCTTCAGCCAGCTTCTTTCTGGAGAACAAGAACTCCGTTTCATTTGAGGGTGAAATACTACGAGATCGTTTGGAACTCTCGATAAGCTATAATTACGTTTGCACCGCCAGTGACTCTTTACAACAAGTCTAGATAAATTAATTGTCATTGACTTACCATGGGTATTTCTTAGTTTTCTATGTTCAATATTCCTGACGGAGATGCTCTAGACAGACAAGACACTTGGATATATTAAAAATAAACAACAATTTAGGGGATGACTGAAAAATAAAATCACTGTTTTTTTCTTATTATTATGGGCGTTTTTTTTATAATTCAGTGACACTCACCAACAAAAAAGGAAAGACAACTCTTTTTTTATGAGATTGCCGAACTAACAATCCGCTTTTTACTACTTAAATTTTCTTTTATAATCGGTTTGCTGTTTCATTTGCTTTGGGTTCAACCACAAAGAGTGTGTGTATATTATAATTTATTTACACTATGGTGGCGTGGCGTTAGGGGGAGGATAGGTCGAAAAAAGGACACTTCAACTGCCTCCGACTTCTTATCTAACCAACTCTTGTTAATAAGTAAACCACGAAGAAACTACGGCAATAATATATACAGTAGGCTTATGTTCGTGTAGAAAATTGTTTTGATTATTATTATTTTTTATTATTTATTTTTTTACTTTTTTGATTATTTTTTTATTTATTTTTTTTATGCAAGGTCTTATTTATTCATTCGAGCGTTCGGAAAGCCCCGTTTTTGAATTTGGTCGTATTGGTTGCTTAAATATCAAACGGAGTCAAACGTTGTACATGTACATCGTTCGTGTTTTAAGATAACAGCGTAATGTATTACTTGTAATCCGCATAATAAATAATTTCAAACGCTTTATCTTGAAAATAAATAGGGCCGGGGTCAACATTATCAAAATGATGCCATTTATGTCCGTTTCTTTTCAGCTATCTTAATGGCCAACTCGGTCTCACGGGTGTGCGGGGTTGCGCTGATCCCCGTTGTGTTAGTTGCGAGCATTGGATGGAGGGTCGCCGCAATTGCTGTGAATGCGTTCTACAGAGCTTTTCCCACCGCTGGGCGACTTCTTTCGAAGTGTTTCAACACCATGTACGCAGGTGACAGAAGCAAGCCCNTCAAATATGTATTCATATCTTTAATATTGCTACTCTTGCATTCACAAGTCAATACCTGATGAAAAAAAAAATTTAATAAATCAGTTTACGATTTATTCATTGTTCAATTCATATTTCTAATTTATTTCTTAATATACATTTGCATTTAATCTATAAATCTAAATGCTTCTTATAATCCACATACCAGGGTACATGTGAGCGTACATGCATATATAAAGTAATGTACCGCACGCAATTGTCTTTGATATTTTACTCTGCTTTTATTTCTATGTTGGCCGATATACCGTAGGAGTGTACACAGATCCACCGCCTTACGACAGTATCTGCATCATCAGCTCATCCGTCCACAACTCCAGAACCAGACTTCTATACAGCGAGGAACACAACAGCGACCAGCCTCCACCGCCATACTCTAGAGACATAGAGCGTCTCTGCTCTTTCACTGCGGTAAGGCCATCGTCTCTTAAAGTAGACGCCGTTGACAGTTTGCCGCGTCCAACTGGAGTACCGCCGCCGTCCTATTGTGACAGGATCTCAGCGCCAGGAGAGAACTTCGGGCAAGGAGATTTTCCGTCTATTCAGACCACCCCTGGGACTCTGAGGAGCGACCCTGGGGACTTTACTAGCAAATCGTTACCCTAAACTGATTCACAAAGAGGGTCAATATACTGAAGCGTTTTTATTTACGTTTACTTATAGAATTGACCTAGTTATGATAAAGAGTGAATCACCTCTTTTGATTATGTGGATTTAAATGTAAGCAGGTGCCCTATGTTACAGGGTCCAGTTCCCATTTATCTGTACAGGTGCGAGTTAGGGACCGTTCCCATAACCCTATCGTACTAGCTGGATCGATCTTATTCCTCGGGGATTCTCGATAAATTGCATTCTAAGTGTACTTTAAT